GGCCACGGGGACAAAAAAAACACCCCCCCCCCCCCCAAGGAAGGACAGCGTCGGCACAAATTAGTTGCACTTTAAATTATTAATGTTTGAATGTTTGTGTTGCCTTCTTATAGAATAGTAAAGCTTTATGTTGTCAGCAATATGTTTGCCATGCTTTCAAAATGGTATTTACTACTCATCAGCTTTTGTGCCAGAAATAACAATGTACTAAAAAAAGTACAAAAGTCGCATGTAATTTAAAACATACCAAGTCCAGAAAATGAAATTTTTTTGGCTCAACAAAACATTGCTGACATCTTTTATGTTCATGAAAATGACCTCCAGAGTACATGGTACTTGAACTGCAGCTGGCATCTTTATCACAAAAGCCAATCAAGAACTGAGTATGTATAATGAACTCTCCAGAGAATGTTGAAAGTGTCTTCACAAGCACTCACTCTAAATTGTCCTTTATACAGCTCTTTTTGTCCACATAAAAAAACATGGCTGGTGACTCTAAAATGCAGATAACCAGAAAGTTAGATCTACTGTAATTATATAGCATTTACTTAGTAATGCTTTGCTCAGAATTATTGTAGTTAATACATATTATACTTCCCTAATCCTGACTATTATTTTTTAGAGGACTCCCTTATTCCCATGTTCCAAAATAATATGATTTATGTCCTAGCAATTTTAACATGCTAAAGCAGAAGGTTTGATGTGCATGGGAAGAAACACATTTTACTGCTGTTTTTCACTGTTTTCACACCACTGTGTGTGTACAGTAGTCAGGATAGATTTAAGGGAGCTGTCATTGCTGACTGCTTAGTGCAGATGTATGCATCAGGGCTGTCGATCGTATCCTTCCTTCAGTTTCTGGGAAGTCAGTAACAAGAATATGCATGTGAAGCAAAATATTTCCTTACCATATACTGTAGATAACACAAATGTCCAATCAGAAGGTTATCTAAAACTCTGGCAAAATCTATTTAATTAACTCTACAGAACTTGTACTACAGTAACACCATGGATCACTATAAAAAATGTCTTTGTGTGCTAAATATGCCACGTTTTCTTCATTTAGATAGGGAGCCAGGCTAATTAGTTGACCGTAAAATGAAGACCAAGTCCTCCAATCCTGATAGAATCAAAGTACAAGGCTACTTTGATTTTTCTAGCATTGACTGCAAGCTACTTGCTAGCATCTAACCCTTCCTGTAAAATAACTCACTGTGCCAGGTAGGTGTCAACTGTATCCTCGGGTCACCAAAGTCAGGTTTTTTTTCTTGGTATTGTACAAAATTACCATCAGTAGGAGTTACTCTGGATGTGCTGGACTTCAATATTGTATGGTTAGAAAACCCTGTGCCAAACAGTACACTTCTGAATAGAAATACTACAAACAAGGTCAAAACAGCTTCTCAAACAGGATGACGCATTACATTCCTGGCAGTTAACAATACAAGGGGGGACGTCAGTTGTGTTATGCTGTTAACTGAAAGCAACAAAATGTAGCTTTTTCTATAGAGTGCCTTAGAACTAGTTGTTACATAGAGCAACACCGTGGGATGTACAGAGATTCTTCACTTAGTAATATACTAAATATTTTTATTCTGTGGAACTCTATGCAAGTAGCCACATTTTACAGGACTACCCACAGTATGAATATATTTTGTTTACCCCCAACTAAAATGATTTCTTTTTGTTAACACCTTTATGGTCCATTATGTCAATATTGTGCTCTATTAATCTTTTAATAGGGACGAAATGATTAAGGAAATGTCACAGATACTGGCTAGGTTGGTGAGAAAGAATTGTGTTTAGCACGATTGGCACAGTCAATAACAATCATCAATCATTTCACAGTTTTAATTTCACAGTATAAAAATGTGTGTATCCTTGATTTTGTGTGTATGTGTTTGTGCTGTTGTATTCATGTTGCTTTATGCATTGCTAGTGTGTAAAAAATTAATTCAGAACTGAACTGATTTTGAGTGAAAATTTAGTGGATATGTTGCTCCAAACAACCAGTCAGATTCCAGCTTTCGCTGTTTGTGTGTGCGATTTAATGAATGCATCTAATTATCTGAAATATTAACATTAGTGTTAAGTAGGGATGCACCAAGACCAAATGCTGTACTCAGTACAAGTACAGATACTTTTCGAGCTCCAAGACTAGACTAGAGGAAAATTCAAAAGATATTAGGCAGTTGTCATTTGTAAGGATCATACGGGGCTCCTGGGATTTGTAGATCTCTGTTTTAATGTATGATTTTGTTTTTAAAAATATAAAGGGATACATCGATACCATTTTTGCAAGTACTGATACTTGCCCAAGTACTCATAGATACAAGTACTGATACATTTTTGTTTATTGTCAGTTTTTCTAAACCAATACAGACTAATGATTTCAGGACAGTGGTGGAGTGCCAGAGCCAGGTCCCAGCTGCAACCCTGGTAGGTCTCATGAAAATGCCAAGTATCGGCACTGGTATCTGAAAAGTATCGGTGCATCCCTAATTTTAAACAGTGGTGCATAAATCCTGCTGCACACTCACAGGACACTCCATAGGACATGTTGTTATTTCCAGAGAATTACAGGCAAAGCAGGTCAAATGCTTCCTCAGAACTGAACTGCATAATTTATGTAAATCGGAATCAGTTGACACAAACACAGAAAACAAATCCTTGAGTACACAAGCCCTAAGGGGGGGAGGGGTTGGGAAATTTGATACTAGGTTGAAGTGTGTCAATCATAAAGGGGATTTGCAGGTAAAATAAAAATTACTGGCAGTACACCTTGGTGTTGTTTCTGCCTGTCAATATGTCAAAGAAAATCAAATCAGAGCCTAGTGGGACAGATGGGTGTTAATTATCTTTTTTTACTGACAGCTGGTACTGGAGGCTTTTGCAGTCTGTATACATAGGGAAGGGGTGGTTTATGCCCTTTTAAATAGTAATTCCATTTATCCATGGTGTGTTTTACTGCTAGGAGTTTTTGATCTCCAATAATATTTTTTTTTCTTAGCTGTTGATAATGTTTCAGAGGAAAAATTGCAAGGGTCTAGTGTACCAGTACTACACTGATGAAGGATGACCTTTCCAGCCTCTAAAGTTTAAACCTCCAGAACGTAGATACAGTTGTTAAGGCATTATATTTAGCCAACTTATAGGGAAGACTGTTTTGTGTGAGATGCTGAAGTACAGTCTGTGCAAAGTCTGATGATCAGTCAGGTTTGTCCATAAAAAATAGGATGTCATTAAGATAGAGGATGACACACAAACATCAACTCTTTAAAAGGCAGTTGGAGCAATGCCGGACTTAAGAGGCATTTTTAGTTATTTGTAATCCCTTTCCCATGTAAATACTATCTTCATTTCCTTACCTTTAATCCAAAATAGACCAAATGCTTCTTGGAAAACGGAGTAGCACCTTCCAAGCATTTATAAAGCATCCTCTCATAAGAAATTAGGAGTTCTAGTAGCTGTTGTCTATGTTCTCAACAAAGAAAGCCCATCGTCCTGCTAGGGCAGGGGTCAGCAACCTGCGGCTCCGGAGCCGCATGTGGCTCTTTCATCCCTCTGCTGCGGCTCCCTGTCCAGGGGCGGAAGTGACATTTCAGGACCGAACAGCTGTACCAGGGCAGATTGGTACTCCTGCACATACGATTTGCTACGCCGATCTGCTCTGGAACAGCTGAAAAAGCGTTGGAATGTGTGACCTATTGGCGGTCACACATTCCACCGTAAAAAACAACGGGCGGGATTACATTGAAATTTGTGACCACGTCACTGGTCGCACATTGTAACGTAGTCACAAACTTTGATAGAACACCGCCATCAGGGGGGTATGGCCGGTACCCATGTGAGGGGTCTGAGCAGCCTGGGTGGCCTCTTACATAAGTATCAGCTGTACCAGGGGTGGCATGGCAGAGGTGACAGGGGAGGGAGTGGAGGAGGCCAAGCCCCAGCAGCAGCAGGTAAGAGGAGCTGGGAGGAGGTACAGGGAAAGGTACCCTGGCGACCAGCCCACCTGAGGCCCTGCAGAGCCCACCATAGAGAGTCTCAGATGGGCTATGCAGGATCTATGGTGTGCTCTGCAGGGTCACTCTCAGCTGTGCTCTGCGGGGTCTCGGGTAAGTCCAGAGTCCAGTGCGTTACTATGCCCTGAGTCCAGTGCGTTACTAAGCCCAGAGTCCAGTGCGTTACTAAGCCCACATATACCTATATACATAGCATAAAGGTAAAAAACGATATATGGAGTGTTATCTTCATCTTAGATGTCAAAAGGGTTTTGTGGCTCCCGGTGTTTTCTTTTCTGTGGGAAACAGGTCCAAATGGCTCTTTGAGTGTTTAAGGTTGCTGACCCCTGTGCTAGGGGAATAGAATTCCATTTCAAACCAAAAAGGATGGCCCACTGATACGCAGTTGGGCCGCAGAGGTTACACAGAGAGTCTGAAGTAAAATAAGTCAAATGAATAACTTTATTCATATTAACTTTAAAAAATACATCACCACTATACCACCACAAGTTAAAAATAGAACAGCGTTGTCATTAAAAACAATGCATCAGCAAAGATCAGGACCAATAACACTCATGCACATTTTAAATAATCCAACGGTCTGTTTCTTTAAACCTTAGTAACCTCCTCCGTGACTACAACTGCACTGTGGATAAATAGCTAATTTTGCATAAAGCTGGAAAAACTGTTGTTAGAGGTCCGATATTAAAGGAGAACTATGGGGTCAGTGTTTTTCCCCATAGTTCTCCTTAGGGTAACGGGAGGACACAAACTAGCGTCCTCCCGTTACCCTAAGCTCAGTATACCGCGAGTTGTAGCTCGCGGTATACTGAGCTTAGGGTATACTGAGATGCCGCAGCCGGAGCGGATCCCGTCGTAGATGACGGGATGAGTGACAGCTGGCTCTGCCTATCTAGAGGCAGAGCCAGCTGTACCCCCCCTCCCCCGTCCGTTCCGCCAGTCAGCGCTGGCAGATCGGAGCGGGGAGAGGGGAATCCAGCCCCTCCCCCTGTCACGGCAGAGAGCCGTGACAGGATCGAGAGGTGAGGGAACCTGGTATGTGTTCGCTAACCTCCCGATCTACTGAGCCGACCTGTGACAGTCTCATTGTCACAGGTCGGCTAGAACTATGAGGTGAGTGGAAATCACTCATCTCATAGTTCTCCTTTAAGGAGACTAGATAGAGCATCCATAACTGGGATTTCACACTACTTCCCAAGTAATGCCAGGGTGTAATTTATACAACACTTTGCTACAGAGCACTCCAACATGACCCGGAAATACTTTTAATCAAAGTATCCACTCAGTTTGTAACATACTATAGCTGGACCCCCTGAAATGTTTAATTCACAATAGTTATCTTATGTTTCCATATCAGGACATTGTGCATTAACTCAAATTTGCATGCACGAAACGGGCTCCAGCTAAAAGCTTCAGCAGCAATCATTCATTACTGGCATCAAGGATTAAATCAGTTCTGAGCTGTCAAGCATTTAGAAAGCATTATTCAAAATGCTCCATGACATCACATACATCAGCTGACTGGGAAATATACCTGCAACATTTAGCACCACACTACTTTCATACAAATCCGGATCTCACCACTCCCAGTACATATTCAAATGTGGATCGTTGCACAATCATATGGAGTGCATCCACATAATACGGAGTACATCTATGCTATCACGTGTAGCAAGACAGCGTCCACAGAGGCCGTGATGAGTGGTAGACAGGCCCCTTCGGTGACCTACGTCAATGCATTTCGCCCATTGATTGGTTTCTTTCATATATTTAACTTGGCTTGGGTCTCAGGGAGGGAAATAGCAAATATGTGACCAAAAGTGGGAGTATTAAGCAATAATTCCATAATAGATTTGTAAGGATGGTGAGTTGGTAAGGTTTCCTTTTGTTTATTACTAAAATATAAGAGTAGTACTAATATGACTTGGACATGTTGTGTAAAGTCATGTTGTCAGCTAAAGGCTAAAGCCCAATTGACCCTTCATTTTAAGTCTGCTCAATACATTCTAGGTGCATCAAAACAAAAGGTGTTCAGAGTCTTGGGGCTCATTCACACTGGCATTAACATATATCCATTTAAATGCGATTTGGGAAGCATCATGTTTGTTTATATTTTCCAGTTCATTTCCGAATGCAGGAGACTAATGTAAATGCAGTGTTACAGCTTGTATTTTCTCTTTCTAATGCAGCCACAGCCCAAATAGAACAGCCTGTCCCCTGCCAGCAGCTGCAGAGAAATACCCTTGCTCTATGTGTGAAAGCAGTGATCTCATTGCAGAGGTCTGACATGCCTCTTATTGAGTCAGACATATAGATAGATAGATTTTATTTGTCACATACACAATCTTACAAGTATGATATGCAGTGAAATGCTTACACGACTGCAGAGCAGTCGTGACGGCAGCCGACTACACCGGCGCCATCTTTGTGGAGCAGTACGGTGACAAGACGCGGATGTAGAGAGCCTGCAGCTACTCCTAAAGCTCCGGGTGTCGCCTCTGAACGGCGACAATCAGTAAAGTAACTCTGTAATCAGTGAAGTTCATGCTTCTGACTAATTGAAGAGCTCTGACTCAGCAGGGTGCATGTTGGAGCTATGGAAAAGCGATCACTGCTTGTCCACAGAGAGCAAGGGTCCCATTCTGCAGCTGCTGGAAGAGGACAGGCTTTTCTACTCAGGCTGCTGTAGAAAAAAAACAAACTATAGGACATTTTACTCCTTTTGCTTTGGTGTACCTGATTTGTATTTAGCTGATTTAAATGAATGCTTCAGTTAGGCTTAAAGTACACAAAGTGAGAAAAGGCATTTTGCCAGACCTATATAAAGATATATGAAGACAAAGCTCCCGCTTTCAGAGTGTCGCCTGAAACTTGTCCACTTACAACTACAGGTGAAACTCGAATAATTAGAATATCGTGCAAAAGTTAATTTATTTCACTAATGCAACTTAAAAGGTGAAACTAATATATGAGATAGACTCATTACATGCAAAGCAAGATAGTTCAAGCCGTGATTTGTCATAATTGTGATGATTATGGCTTACAGCTCATGAAAACCCCAAATCCACAATGTCAGAAAATTAGAGTATTACATGCAATCAATAAAACAAGGATTGTACATAGAACAATATCGGACCTCTGAAAAGTATAAGCATGCATATGTACTCAGTACTTGGTTTGGGCCCCTTTTGCAGCAATTACTGCCTCAATGCGGCGTGGCATGGAAGCTATCAGAGCTCGGTCTGCGGAAGGAAGCATGAAGTGCTCCAAAATCTCCTTGTAGACGGCTGCGTTGACCCTGGACTTAATGAAGCACAGTGGACCAACACCAGCAGATGACATGGCTCCCCAAATCAACACAGACTGTGGAAACTTCACACTGGACTACAAGCATCTTGCAGTGTGTGCCTCTCCATTCTTCCTCCATACTCTGGGTCCTTGGTTTCCAAATGAGATGCAAAATTTGCTCTCATCAGAAAAGAGGACTTTGGACCACTGAGCAACAGACCAGGTCTGTTTTTCTTTAGCCCAGGTAAGACGCTTCTGACGTTGTTTGTTGTTCAGGAGTGGCTTGACAAGAGGAATACGACATTTGAAGCCCATTTCCAGGATCCGTCTGTGTGTGGTGGCTCTTGATGCACTGACTCCAGCCTCAGTCCACTCCTTGTGAAAGTCCCCAACACTTTTGAATGGCCTTTTCCTGACAATCCTCTCCAGGCTGCGGTCATCCCTGCTGCTTGTGCACCTTTTTCTTCCACACTTTTCCCTTCCACATAACTTTCTATTAATGTGCTTTGATACAGCACTTTGGGAACATCCAACTTCTTTTGCAATTACCTTTTGAGGCTTTCCCTCCTTATGGAGGGTGTCAATGATGGTTTTCTGCACAACTATCAGGTCAGCAGTCCTTCCCATGATTGTGATTCCTACTGAACCAGACTGAGAGACCATTTAAAGGCTCATGAACCCTTTGCAGGTGTTATGGCTTAATTAGCTGATTAGAGTGGGGCACTTTGAGCCTAGAATATTGCACCTTTTCACAATATTCAAATTTTCTGAGATTGTGGATTTGGGGTTTTCATGAGCTGTAAGCCATAATCATCACAATTATGACAAATCACGGCTTGAACTATCTTGCTTTGCATGTAATGAGTCTATCTCATATATTAGTTTCACCTTTTAAGTTGCATTAGTGAAGTAAATGAACTTTTGCACGATATTCTAATTATTCGAGTTTTACCTGTATATGGGCGCATAGCAAAAATAGACCAGGAAAAATTGGATGCACAAATTTAGGAATTCACAGAAAGATTATGTACTCCTGAAAGAGATGACGTTAAGGCTTCTGGTTAGCTACATATGCTTGGCATTAATTTGACTGGTTTAGACATCATTAAGAACTTTTCTATATTCTTACTGGACTATTAGGTTTTTTTTTCTGTTTTTATTACAATTACCTTCTATGCTTAGACTAATGAAAATTCAAAAATTAGCAGTAGCTCATGGCCAAGGTACTATCTTTGAATATAATCAGAGCTGTGAATGGTGATTATATTCTGTCATCCATCATTTTACAAGTGATTAAAATCACTTTTATACTTTGACATTTACTCCTTTATGTTTTAAAATGGCAGTTTCTTAATGGCAGGCTACAGTGCTTTAGCACTGTAATATATTTAATAATAGAGCTTTACCTGTTTCATATTTAATTATTTCATAAAGGTATTTAATTAACATGGCATGGAGTTGTAATGCCCACTAATTAATAGAGAGAGTGATGTCCGCTGATAAAAGAAAAATGGAAACAAATCTAAGCAAAGCAAAGAAACATATTTATGAAGCAGCAGTTGATCAGTCCACTGAACATTCACTGTTTACTGGCTGCAGAATGCCTCGTGTATCTCTTGCTACAAACATTTGCTGACTGCCTGTTTACCAGACAAGTCACATTTACCATCATGGACTGCATTTGCCTGCTTTTAATGTGGTACAATAAATTGTCCTGGTAAAGTCATTTAAGAGGTTATGATTACACTGTATAGTATTAGTTTAGATGGATCAGCTATTTTATTTTTTGTCAGCTAAAATTTTGCAATGACTGTTTCTTGAATACTTGTCATTATAAAAGTTGTTACTGTTTTGTGCTCCTAAAATAAATAATTTAGTCCAAGGGGATTTTTCATTATGTTATCAAAAGTGAAAAACTAAAATAGACCGTCTGTGTGATAGCTCGATATTTGTATGCTTTCTCTTCATATTTTGCATTTCTTTCTGCCTTCAAGAGTTCAACAAGGTTCCTTGTCTAAATTTGTAGTTGCCATGTATTTAATTTTTTTTATTTATTATATAAAATACCTTCTCTGCTATTTCAGGGGAGTGCAAGTTCAAGCCACAAAATCTGCTGCTACCGTCAAAAAGCATGACTTAAGTAAATGGAAATACGCGGAGCTGAGAGATGCAATCAATACCTCATGTGGTAAGTCAACAAAACTGACTACTGCTGAAATGGAAGGAAGTCATTAAGGATTAGCACATTAGACAAAATGATGCTTTAGCTTGAGGCTGACATGTGATAGATGAAAAGTTTTTGCAATCCTCTAGATATATTAAGTACTGAATGCCTAGCACTTGGAGACAGCAGATCTCCCAGCTGATAATTCAGCTGTTATTGTCAAGTGGTTGGACATAACATAAATCTCTACTGGTGTAGGAGAACTAATCTTAAAATTCCTCTATGCAGAGCGAACAAGCAGGGTCACTTATTGGATTCTGTTAACCTTACGGATCGGATCGACAGCTTCTGGAAAGCAGCGCTTCTCAAAAGCTACCCCTCCTTGTGGATGGAAATGCTGATTCAGCAAAGTAGAGGAACACGTAAACTATAATTCCGATCTACTGGATAATGCCACTAGGGGTCACTAAGCTGCTGTAACAATACAAACCAACGGTTTGAGCACTGATTTTAAGGACACTAGAGAGCGCTAAGGGACCCCAACCTAATATATTAACACTCCTACAAATTTAAAAGGTGCCTAAAGTGTATGAATATAATATAAAAAAAATTATTCAAAGATCAAAAAACTAATACATGATTAATAAGTATCATAAACAAGATGATTAAATGACACACACAGTGAGAAGGAAAGGGTCAAATAACCCAATAAATATGTGATCAATATTAAATATCCCTGTACATGCAAATAAATAAATCATCCACAGTGAATCAGGTGGGTCCCAAACTACCAAATGAATAAAAATTATTAAATATTGTGCTAGTGAATTTAATCATAAAGTTCATCCACATGAAATCCACCCATGGGTGAATAAAAAACGTCCGTAGTGTTGACACAGACGTGGGCCCCTTCGGGGTACGCACTCACCAAGTCCCAATGGCTGAAAGCCAAACAGCCAATTTCTTGAGGACAGATCTTCAGACTGGATCCTTTTAAGTTCACATGCCCATCAACGTTGTTATGCATAAATAGGATCAAAAAAGATTCCACATAGTGAAGTAAGCCATAAAAACTCTTTATTAAAATAATAGAACTTACATCTCAGCAAACAGCAGCTGGCCGGCAAACAATAACTTACATGCGTAGCGTTAGAAGTTATTAGTTTTTTGATCTTTGAATCATTTTTTTAATATTATATTCATGCACTTTAGGCACCTTTTAAATTTGTAGGAGTGTTAATATTTTAGGTTGGGGTCCCTTAGTGGTCTCTAGTTTCCTTAAAAGTAGAGGAACAACCAAAATCCTGAGCTGCTACAGATCCTCTGCCGGTAACACAGACCTGGTAGATTACCAACCAGAAGCATGCATGGACCTTCATTTAGTGATATGAGGTCAACAGTATCTAGCAAGTGGCCCCGTTTGTTTGCTGTGTATGAAGGAATGCACAGAGAAATGCTGAGAGAATAGATATAAGCTTTGTAAGTTTGCTGAGTAGCTGCAAATGAAGAAATTGGTCAATTGTGGTATTTAACTCCAATAATGTAAACCTGCCACAAACCAAGGTAAATGATGAAAAGTGCATAGAAGCCAAGTTTAACCTCAACTACTTCCACCTCTTGAACCTCTGTGTTGCTCCTTTTAAAGTTCAAGATATCCTCATTGACCACTGGGGAAGCTTGGAGGGTAGAAGAAGGTGTAACCAAGTTTAAACCTACATATAATATCATCTGCCTATAAGTATGATCTCCTGTTTGTTTTTGTTATTTGTTTTTTTACTGAATGTATCCTCTGGCTATTCTTATTTTAATCTCTTCCTGTGTTTAAACTGCCCAGTTTTGTGAAATTTTTTCTCTTAAAATTATTAATTAAATAATGTATAAACAGTTCATAGGTTTTTTTGTTTGAACACTCAACTTTCAAAGGGTAGCTGCATCGCCTTCAAAAGCCATTATCTCCTCCCTTTCATCAATATAGTTGAAGTATTTCCCACATAATAAAAGAGGATTGTAGTGGGACCTGGAGATGCATGTGAATAAGAAAAAAATGTTGTCATCTAGTCATGATTACTTACACCATATACTTCAAGTATTATGGGGTTTTATGAGGCATCAGACTTAATTTTTTGTTAAAAATCAAAATCAATTTATTCCATGTAGTTTTTTGAACTACATGGAATAAATAGATTTAGATTTTTTTAATAGAATTGTAAGTCTGCCTCATAAAACCCCATAATGCTTAGAAGTAATGTATATGGTGTAACGAAATTTGAGAAAGGGTGAGGTGTCTGAACACCTGGGTCTTTAGCCTTGTGGAATTGTCGAGTCAATTTTTCATCTAGTCATGAATCACTATCGGCCAAGTGACAGTCATGTCCAGTTTTATAAGGAGAGCACTGTATGAGGGTGTATGTTGTTGATGTATAGGTATAAGCATTCTTTACAAAGACTTTCTTATTATATGTTATTTAGCATGTTGAAAATAATTCTAAATACCAAATCTGATGATTGACTACAGGAGGCAAAAAATTAAATACAAATATCTCATAGTTCCTGCAGCCTTATAGACATCATGGACTGAGAGAAATATGTCGGCTGTCACTACTGACCTTCTTCTAAAAATGATAGATGCCTGGCTGAATTTACTACCTTCTGAGTCACTGAGCTAGTAAAAGGCTTTCAGACAGTGGAGTTATAACACCTGATTTGTATACTTATTTTGGGTTAGTGACCCGCATTTTAGAAAAGGAACATTTTCCTTCTTTCTTTTATTACATGTTTCCTGTAATCAAGTATTAGTGGAGACATACTACCATAACTTAGCTATCAAAAACCCACTCTAACAGACAAAACTCTTTTCACACAAAATATTGATGTTGTTTAACTGCTTCCCTCCTTCAATCTGTAGATTAACGTCCCCCTCTGGGTACAAGAGGATTAACACCACTTAATGCATCGCCACGCCTTTAATACATTTATTATTTTACAAAATCTATTTCCAGCTCTAAAAATGCTTTTTTAACACATAGAGGCCTAAAAAAAACCCCGAAATGCTGCTGAGTCTGCTGTGGACCCTTCGCAATTACATTTATTTTAATGCTTCTGGAGGATGGGATTGGGAAGCCTGTTTGGAAACTTGTGACATTCAGATCAGTATACATAGTGTGAGTCATATCTATACCATAGTCATAGTTCCACCACTACATATACAGGTGAAATCACTTTCTTTGGGGAAAAAGTAGCTGATAGGAATTGTCACTATATTGTTTGACTGTGTTCTGCTCCAATGCTAGTTGTGATTTATCCTTTCACCTAAATGAATCAAGTTTCCCTCTATATTTCTCCTTTGCCTGCTCCATTTAACTTTCTTCTTGTGCCCCACTTTTGGTTACCTGTTAAGACTGTGTTGGATGCCATGTATAATATGTGCTTTTTTATGCCATTCTGCTCTTGTCAGGTATCCCACTTCTTAATAACATTATGCCTATGGCACTTTTTAGAAAATCAATAAAAATACCCAAGATGTATGCAAGATTAAATTATCCCAAAGCGAATGTAAATTGGTTTCTTCTAAATAAGCAAAATTCCAATTAGTAAAATGAATCAGTAATTTCCGGTACGGCTTTCAAGCATAACATCTTGGTGCTATCTTTAGCACGTAAAATATTGTAACAGCTCAGACAGTCTCACTTTTTTTTTAATGGATCTCTACACACTCTTCACACAAATAACTTTTATGTCAGTCTGTTTAGTGTGAAAAAATAGCTTTGTTAGTAGGCAACTACCTCTGCTATCTGGCACTTCATCCCCTTGTGCTCCCATTAAAAGTGCTGGTATCTAGCTGTATTGTACGCAGAGCTGAACTCCATCTCACCTCTAGAGAGAAGACCACAGAGTTCCTAATAGATTGACAAGAGATGTGATGCCTCAGACAGAAAGGGCAGCTTACTGGCAGGAAACAAATGACTGGAACACGGATTGGGAGTTTTTTATGCCATTTCTGTATTCTCCAAAGTGTTTTGTTCATGCTAGTATGCCACTGGGGCAGAATATGTGATAACTCTCTGAATTTGACAGTTTTCCTTAAATTTTTTTTTATTTCAAGATTAATATTCTGTTGCTTAAATTAACCAAGTCATTTAAAGCGTTAATGAACCCATGAAACAGTATTTATAATTTGTTAGCTACAACTAAATGTTTTGCTTCCTGCTGCATGATCTCCTTCACATCTGTTCTGCGGGAGATGAACTTGAAAATCTGGCAAAATGCACTTCTGTCTATTGGGTGGCTCTGATGCCTTGTGAGGTCTCTCTGGAGCCCTCCCCTATGTGCATGTTCCTTGAACGTAACTACAGCTGCACAAGAACACTCTGAGGGGAATTTATCAAAACTGGAGCAGACAGAATCTGGAGCAGCTGTGCATTCTCTATTTCATTTTCAAATCTTAACTGAACAAACTGAAGAGAGACACTGATTGGTTACTATGGGCAACTGCTCCAGATTCTGTCTGCTACAGTTTTGATAAATCCCCCTTCTGTGTGCATGTTCTCAGTAACAGGTTACAAGAGGGCTCTTCCTCCACCCCCTCAGATCTAAATTGACAGCTGAATTGACTAATCTCTGATCCTGTGTACTTACCCTACACCAGAAAGTCAGGTGGTCCTTCTGTGACTGTGCTGAGCACGTAACCAGGGCAGAAATTTAAGAGAACCACAGGGAGATAGAGACAGTAGTAGACAAGTTTAAAAAATGGTTACAAAAAACAACAGTTTACAAGCAATACTTAACAAAAACAGTATAGTGCATCAAGTACTTTGTATCTAAAAGGAAATGTTAATTTAGTGAGGAGGGTCTAATACTACTTCATGTTTTGTTGTGGTAAAGAAAATATTTTAGACATACTGATATAATGAGTTGGGAATCTTCAAAAACATAAAAGGGCAACTTCACTACAAACACTGCATTCCGTAATATAATTCATGATTACCTGTGTTTCCTTTTTGTTTCCGGATGCACTGTTTAGCAGTAAGGTGCTGTTTCCAATTTTCTTTCTTGCAAATAGCTGCAATGTCATTTAGCTGACAGCATCATATCCAAATTAAATAGTGAACTTCTGGCAGAATAACTCATCTCTCTCCCTGTATTTAGAATAAGTTCAATCCCAGCATACAAGATTCTGCTACACTCTAGGTTTTGGTTGTGTATAACAAGTAATGTAAAGTGATACATATTTTTATTTCTCAGAAGAATACAGTATACTGCACTCATTTGTAAATATTTGCAAATCACCTCTCCCCTGTCCCAGCAAAGCCCTTCCACAATATAAATGAGCTACACACATTGGTTATGTATGCATGTGTTTGTAAAAGATCTTGTTCTGAGGTGCTGAGTGAGAGGTCAGCCTGTCACTATCTCTCCCATAGCTCTCAAATAATCCTTGCTGTGTTGTGATAGTAATGTTTAAGCAATATGGAAGCATAGAGGACAAAAGACAAAATTAAGCAAGATCCTTCATGGTTGGAAGAACCAACTACAGAGCCTGCATCTTCTACTGTCATCCTCCTCAATGTTTCTTAAACAGGATTTGGCCAAGAATACAATTTATTGAAGTATTTTGTGCTCAGCAGGATGTACTGGGTTTTATATTGCTTATCTCAAATAGACGGTTCACTTTGCAAGGGGATGTTCACTTAGTTTAGTGAATGAAGTGAAGATTTGCTGACTTCCATCATCCAATCATGCAGAAGCAAAATACTGTTTTTTCTTTATTGGATATTCATTGCAAAGTAAGTTTTCATCACATTCACTAAGCTAAGGCAAAATTCTGTTGCAAAGTGCCTATTTGGCTTTAGTAAATCAACCCCACTATGTTTTTGACTTACTGCTAGTGTACCTTCCACTATCGAAAAAAGTAACATGTCTTGAGAGGATTCACAAAAATACTGTTAAAACCTTGGATAAGGTTTGACCTACACTCTCCCACCACTAAATTGTGAACAGAGTCTAAGTTTTGGTACAGTGTGCTATTATTTGATTGAGTTACTGTTGGCAGATCGTGATTTTTTTTCTTTCATGGTCTCACTGATCACATTTGCTAGTGAGCTGTATTACATCAAAACATTGTCTATACAGTGCTGGGAGGTGTTAAATGTAGACAGTCAGTGACACTAGCTGAAGAGAATTATAGGAAATGTGTACTCCCAATACAAAACTGCTTCCCCTTTGAAAACTATATATACTAATTTGCCTTGATGCAAAATAGGAAAGTGGATAATGGACCTCCAATCAATGAATGCCATTAATACACTTATGTGTATTTACCTGGATATTTCATTGTGCTGTGTGGAGTTATATTTTACATACACCATTTAAAACAGCAAGTCCAGTGCAACTAGTAATAGATAAGCGATGGGAAATGGCAAATGCATTTAATATCAAAGTTATTTGTAGGTTAATGTGGTATGTAGAATATCATTTATTCATGAAGATACTTCATTTCTAGAAAAAAAAAGTGCAGGTACATGCATTTAGTTCATCAAATATTTTGAGCCTGTTGTCATTTTCATGAATATGTCTCATAAATAAAGTACTCTACCTGGATATGACATCTATCTTATAACAGCAGAATAAAAAAAGCATAAATAAGAATGTTGGCCTAGCACTGCTGACATTATCTGGGCACTCTGATATTTCTTGGTAGCATTAACCAAAATATGTTTTCCCATAAATCTATTGAACAGACATCGAGCTGCTGGCAGCATGCAGAGAGGAGTTTCACAGGCGGCTCAAAGTTTATCATGCCTGGAAATCCAAGAACAAGAAGCGCAATACAGAGACGGAACAACGAGCTCCAAAGTCGGTTACAGACTATGGTAAGTCTAAGTCATTAAGGGATGCAGGATATGAAGTCCTGCTGCTGCACTAGTCTTTATGGGTTTTTCGTGGTAATTTTTCTAGGTAGGCAAGACATCAGTTTTTATTTTTAAAAAGATTGAAAATGTATTAAACTAGCAAAAGTGTGCATTTCCAGAAATGGCAAGGTTGCAAATAATGCGGAAGAAATTTATTAGTGGGCAGTATAAGCAGGAGAGGAGTGCAGCATGTATCGCAGTAGGCAATATATGCAGAAGAGAAGTGCAGAGGGTATTACAGTAAGCAGTAATAGGAAAAGAGAAGTGTGCAGGGTATTGGAAAAGGCAGTATGTGCAGGAGAGGGTATTACAGGGGGCAAATACTGTGCAGGAGAGGAGTGTGGAGAGTATCACACTAGTCTGTATGTGCAGTAGAGGAGTGCCAAGGGTATTACAGAATGTGCTTAGCCTAGAATCCAATGCCTTCCCAAGGCACAATACAAACCTTTCTGAAGATGAGCATTGGTACTTTATCAGTTATGTTTGTGTATTCACTTTGGTTGACATACGATGTTTACTTTAATTCTTCCATCCTCTGTGGGCAAGGTTTGGATGATAGCATGTTACTTGTATTATGAACATATCTCTTTCTTTGTTTTTATAAGAGAAACTATGTTGAAACACATTTAGGTTATTGTAAGCTGGGCTAAAAGGAAATGGTGGTTGCTGGGAAATACTATGAACTGGATGTTCATTGGCTAGAACAAATTCATGTTCCAATTTTTAGTAAATAAATCTGTTTGTTCTTTAGCTAATGTTTTTTGGACAGTGGCATGCAAACTCCTCCTTATGCCCCTGTGGACAACTGTGAATCCTGACAATTGGATTATACAGTATTTTAAAGCCTAATATGTAAGAACTTGGACAGCTGCCTCTATATTTGAGCCGTGTCTGTTGCATTAATCAATATTTCTTGTATCCATGCATGGACATAAAGGAATATGCCTTTCTGATGTCCATTAAAAGTAAACACCCTGTTTGATTTTAAATGAATTCATCATCTTTAAAAGTCATACTAGGGAGAGCAGGCATTACAAGATGTTCCTTCTGTGTCCCCCTCTTTTTCTGGTTTCACCCGTTTGCTAAGTGCTCAACTTCACTTTGGAGCTAAGTCCAGATCTAAAACACTGCTTACCTGCCAATGCCCAAGCTAATGAAGACTCTGTTATTGGTCACAGTGGTGCTGCCTTTGGACTGATTGATGGGATTTTATGGGATGGGATGGGATGGGATTGAGGTGTGGCTTAACTTCAAAGGTGAGGGACATCAGGTTCTTGCTAACAGGGGATCCAAATTCCCACAGGGCTTGGAAATCTGGTTTATATTGGTAGCCATACCCCAATGATTGCATTTGATGCTTTTAACCCATTTGTGAGTAACAGCCACAGATGACTGCTTCTCAGTACAGTTTGGGCTAAGATATTCAAAAATGCAATCCATCCATTTTATCCTAGTTTCAGTACTGGTTTTAATATTTGTAAATCAGCACCTGGAACTTTACTAGGCTTTATTCAGTAACCAGAGCAGTTTAATTGGGAACATTTGAAATCAGTGTAAGGTGTAACCTTGATATTGGCTTGAAAATCATGCGCAAAACAAATAATAAAGGTTCTGGTAACTAGTCTTAAAACCTGAATTAATGGCAGACTATGTAAGTTGCTCTGGTGACCTAATTTATATTTTTTTCTGGTAGATTTTGAATATGTTGGGTAAAACTCATGTATTTGCATGTCCTAACAGAATACAGATACATTTCTCATCACAGAGAGCTTATGTGGAGAGTAATTACATTTAAGTAAACACACTGAAATAACTTTAATTACTATCAAAAGCTTTATGTATAGCAGTGCCACAATATTATTTGTAATTATTGGAGAACAACCAAGAAGTTTTTTGTTTTACAACTGATCATCTTTTGATATAATCTGCCTTGTTGTTATTAGGTAATTTTTATGCTATATATTTTTATTAAAATTATAAATTCAAAGCAAAATTCTAATGCATGTGGTCCGTTGAATTCAAAATAACTGGTATTTATTTACAGATTTTGCTCCATTTATGAACAGCAAACGTAAGTGTGGAGATGGTAACCAGACTAATCAGAAGGAGATGGGAAAGGTGTCTTAAGCTTATGCTACTAACCATTATGACATTTGCTACAGCTATGGAAACCATGCAAACATTTATTTACAAAATGTAGTTTTGTGAGTACTCCAAGCACAAGCTGGGCTGTACTTGAACTAGTCAGGCTTGTGCACGCTAGTAAAACTTGATAGCTTAGCCTTAAAATGCATATGAGGACCACCTAGCCTACCCATGCTTTCTGTTGTAATGGAGGCATAGCTATAGTGCAACAAGGTGACCAGGCAACCCCTTTTTGCTTACCCATGTGAAAATGATGACAGATATTTCCCCACACCCACTGTGTAAGCCCTTTGGTTTTTCTAACATACACAGATGCACAGAATTATGTGAGCTTCGTTAATTGACTCGCCCATCAATGCATACGCTGTAGGTAGAGTGCAGTGTACTCTACAGCTCTCAGATTATGGACATTTGACATGGATTGACTTCGGGTTCATGATTACCACTAGCTTCTCACAGATTTTTCTTGCTCCCTGGAGTTGCTGTTTAATAATTTGACTGCCAAGCACATGTCCGACACACCATGGTATTTAAGGAGGTAAAATCAAGCCCACAACTGCAATAGAAGTCATGAGCTTTTTTATTTATTCTGCTGCCTCTAGGCTTTAAGTAAAAGTAATCTAAGAGGCTGTAAAGCTGCTCCAACACTTTTACTGCTCTCTGAATTTGAGTGAAGTATCCTTCCAGCCAAAAAGGCACATTTTAGCATGTGTGTAAAAAAAAAACTGGAAAAATTGGTCAGACAAGTAAGGATTAAAGGGCAAGAATAGTTTTTTTCTAATGCGCTCTTACTCCGATTTCTTTTATCATGATCCTGAAGGTGTTTAGAGAAAGCATTAGTACATTTGTATTAGATTTTACTATGGCACAAAATTCTATTTCACACATATATATGGAGGAGGCTTTCTACATTGCACTGTTCTAGAACGGAACTAAGATGCTGAGAGAATAAGGTTTGGCATCATTATATACAGATGTAAATTATGTCTAAAGGTGCCCATACACTGTGCGAATTTTGGCCGGTTCTTGAGGAGCCAGACGAAATTTGCACACTGTGTGTCACTGTCAGCACCCTTTAGGCCGGCATCCCTCGATCAGCTGATCTTCGTATGACAAGAGCCAGCATCCAATGAGCTCTCGGCTCTGTCCAGGTATCTTGACAGCCACTGGCTGCCGTATGGCCAGCCTAAGTGTCACGTAAGTGACATCTGTTAGTTACTTACTAAGTTCCTAAAGAGTTACTTAAATGCATTACTACTGCACCCATATAGTATTACAACATATTTTTCCACTTTTCATAAAAGTGAATACAGACATGCTCAGCTAAATATGTGTTGCATGGAAAGGATTTATACTGTTTGACATACCTGTAGCAAAGTGCTTGAGGAGTGAGAAGCAGAAATGGTGCTCTAACTTTCTTGGTGTGGTGCTATACATTGCTTTACATCATCAGCCTTTGGAGTAAGGAAGTTTAAGGACCAGTGATGATGTGCAAACTGTTCTAATATAAAGCTGGTTTAAAAAGAAAAAGAAAATCTCACTGGTTGGGCCAGCAAATTGCACTTTGCACAACACCATTTCCTTAATGAATACGCTGCCTCGTGTCATGCTAAGAAAACATTGCTGCCCTTGGGTTTAACCCTTTTAAAATAGAAAGGAAAATGCAAACTATTCATATTGCATTTCCTGTCTACATATTTATATTGGTGACAGTTTGATGTATGAAATTCCAGTCACCTTGGTTGCAAATACTTTGTGATCAGTTGATTTGCATTGCATGTTTTGTGTAATAAATACCCAAATGGGAATTTACCAAAACTGGGGCAGACAAAATCTGGAGCAGTTGTGCATTGTAACCAATTAGCCTCTGTCTTTAATTTTCAAAGCTTAACGGAACAAACTAAAGAGAGAAGCTGATTGGTTACTATGGGCAATTTGATTACCTAACAAGTCTGAAATTAAATTAACTTAGCATTCTTTAAGTGGCATATTGACAAGCAGCGGGTGAACTTTGGCCAACATGACATTGAAACACATCATTAAATGCCATGACAACAGCTTTTATCATTGTATATGTGTATTTTGATTTCCCTTTATGTGTGTGTGTGTGTGGGGGGGGGGGGGTTGAAGCATTGGAAGGTTCAATAGACATTTTTACACACATTTGTTATTTTCATCCCTCCATATGGTGGGGGGGCACTGTCAGCCTACACTGTCTGCAGGATTAAAAATTATGTTTCCTGTCACCAGAGAAGGGGGGAAAATTGTGAATCCCAGGGGATAACTCGGAGCAGCTGTATTTATTGTGTCACTACATACTCCTATTATTTGGGATGATGAACAATGTGAAATGCTCCAAGCCTTTATTCATTAGTATCTAAGGATGCACCAATACCGGTATTTTGTTACTGAGTACGAGTACGGATTTTTTTTTTTTTGGTACTCGCTGATACCAAATACAGAGAACCGGAAGTCCCATTCAGGAAGCCAGGCGGTGTGTAATAACACAAGTGATGAGGCAGCATGGAGCCGGCTTCCCGGCCAATCAGGAAGCCAGGCAGCGTTTAAAGATGCGCTGCCCGGCTTCCTGATACAGGGAGTATCGGGCTGGGCATCAGAGCATTTGGACGAGTACAAGTATCGGTATCGCTGCATCCCTATTAGTAACTGATTGTAATTGAACATTTTTTAGACTAAAACTTATTTCATAAATGTTAAACTCTTCAACAAAAGTTCAGTTCACCTGAACCACTATAAAAATATGCAGGATATTATTTAAAAATAGTTGTTGAACTAAACACGATGCTTCTTTGCATTATTGGGGTAGCACCTAACATGTGCTCCAGGACCAGAAACCCCACCTATTCCCATTCATTTTCATTTAGGAAACCCTTTGTTACCAACCAGCTCTGATATTAACCATTGCTGGTCCTGTAACATAGCTCAGAAGGTGGCGCGGGTGTCACATCAGTTGTCACATCAGTTCTGTTCTTTTATTTTTTTGGGTATTCTTTTGAACATTTATTTTAAATTTAAGAATAATTTGGTTGTCTGTAAAATCAGAATTAGTGCAGTAAGAAATTATTTCTTTTCAGGCACTACAGTGTTAATTTTCACTTAAGATGTTAAGAGATATAACATGTTAATTTGCACATTCTAACTTTATGCAAATAAAGCCTTGGGTGCCTTCTACAGATGGCTTACCTACAAATTACTCCTGAATATTTCCTCATTCCGTCCTGTAAAAACTCGGGCCTAACACACAAATTCTTAAAGATCTAATTGAGCTTCATATTATTTCAGCCAATATGAAGGGAAAGTACTGAGCCATGTAATGTAATTTCATCCATTTTAAAAGTACACCATTTTTCAAATTTAGACTTGAAAGCCAAGCACTGTAATAAAGTACCATAGTAAATGCTACATAATATGACAAACGCTTGCTTTAGGCAATAATACCGCAGAATGGCCAAAAAGGTAACAGTTACATTATCCTGTATGAATTCCTAATGCAATCATGGTGGCTGTTTTGAAACTGGGCATGTAGTGTAGCGAATGGAGAATGTTTATTGTCATTTTATGCTCTGGATAGGATGCACAGAACATATACCAGGCTGCAGTCAGTTAGTGTTAGTCAAGGAAGAAGATGCATGCAAAAACGGACTTTTTTTTCTTAAAGTGCATTTACCAGTCAGCAGTCATTTGTCGTTGACCTAAGTGCTCTAGTTCTCTTTGTACTGCTGTAATAGGTATGCCTGTAAACGTTTATTACAAAATGAATAAAGTGCTGCTTTTCTTTACACAAGCACACTTTACAAAACCAATCTTGAATACAGCTGTTTCACATTTTAAATCTTTTATCAATACAAGATAAAGTAGAGCTTCAAGACCGCCAAGATAACATCCTGTCCTAATTGAGATTATGGTGGGGGGGCTTAGAGAAACCAAACCCCCCACCTGCTACACAATCTGTATGGTACAGATTCATTAACCGCTTACCTGTTATATAACTGGTAATGATAACAGAAAAAACAAATTGACATTTTTGGATTAATGGTTGTTGTTTGTATCTAGCCCAACAGAACCCAGTAGTACAGCTGCCTGCCAAGCAACAGGAGGTTGAAGTAAACAGACAACAGCGTTACTTCCGTATTCCATTTATTCGTCCTGCTGACCAGTATAAGGATCCTCAGAACAAGAAGAAAGGCTGGTGGTATGCACATTTTGATGGTCCATGGATTGCTCGTCAGATGGAACTGCATCCAGACAAACCTCCCATCTTATTGGTTGCAGGTATGCTCCTTTTTTCAGGGTCCTGAAAGCCAATGCAAAGCATCGAATTGGAACCATTCCAGTTGTGCTGACACAGCCTAAAACAGACATGGCTTGGACATCTATCTCAAGTATTTTAAAAGGATAACGGTCCTTTCATATAACTTAATTAACAACCCCTCTTACACTCTGTATGCTATGGACACACTCCTTCACATACTTTAGATCAGTGAGCAACCTGGATCAGGAGTCTGGTGGTGATCTAGTCCTCCTTCATTATGGTAGGGCTGTGCAATACTGAGCATGCATGACCTTTTGTCCATAGTCCCCAATGGAGAAACTGTCTACTAGGAAGTCTCCTCCTGAAGTGCCACCCAGCTCCTTGCGAAAGTGGCCTGTTGATCTGGTGTATGTAGAGGTAGGTCTATATAGTACAAGAAGAGCAAGGAGTGAATTTAAATAAGGATTTGAATTGCTTAAGCACACAGACATGAATCGATTTGGTGGAACCCTTACACTTCATTGAAACCAGGTTTCATTCCCCCTGCAAAGGGATTAAAGTCAATGCAATTGTCCCTTGTATACCTACATGCATTTGGTATGTCATAGAGTAAAGCAAAGAAAGTGTGAAAGAGGTTCTACAAAGATATTATAAAATAGCCTGGACAGATTTGTTGGTACCCCTAGACAAGAATATAAATAATTGGAAGATACTGATATTTCAAACCAACTGTTTTTGATAATTACACATGTCTTTACTCTTGTAGTCAGTCAGTAAGCCTATTTAAATGGAGAAAAGTAGTCTCTCTACTGTTTGGAATTATTCTGTGCAGCACATTAAACAAAGACTAGGGAAAGCAAAGGAGAGAGTTGTCTGAGGAGAAGGAAATTATAGACCAACATGTCGTAGGTAAAGGCTATGAGACCGTTTCCAAGTAGCTTGTGACTACAGTTGAAAATTTTAGGAAGTTTAAGGTCCATGGGAGTGGAGATAACCTCCATGGTCGTGGCAAGAGGAAAATCAACCCCAGATTGAACAGAAGGATAGTGCGAATGGTAGACAAAGATCAAAGAATAACTTCCAAAGATATACCAGCTGAACTCAGGGGTGTGGAATTCCTATCGCCCGACGCCCAGGACATGCAGTTTCGGGCGCCGGGCGAGTAGTTTTTTTGTACTCTTAGCCCCGCTCCGGACAAGCAGAGCTAAGTGTGCAGTGTGGAGCCGCCGCTCGTTTTCAAGTGATCTGATCACATGTATGAAACGAGGCGGCGATTCTGTCCACACCGCTCCTCTAGCGATTCTGTCCCCGCTCCTCTAGCAGACCCGAAAACCACGGAACATGAGCTCACCATAGAGCAGACGAAAACGGAGGTTTTTCGTCTGCTCTGTGTTATCACTGAGACAGGGTGCGCTGTTATCACAGCGCCACCTGTCTCAGCTGTCAGGAACTACACAGAACATCAGTTCTGTGTTGGAGGGCAGGTTCCATAAAAAGAACCTGTCACCTCCAAACTATCACTTGGAGGATTTTAAATCCCTATGTGATAGAAATAAAATTAGGTGGACACACACGCATACAGCGACTAATGACCCGTCTCCCAGTTTCCTCCCAGCTTCCCAGCCAATCAGCATCGAGCCGGCTTCCTGGCCAATCAGGTAATTACTCGCCTCCCGGTTTTTCTGATTGGCCAGGAAGCTGGCTCGATGCTGATTGGCCGGGAAACCGGCTTCCAAGCCATTCACAATCAAGCTGGCCAAACATGGGGTCGGCTTCCCTGGCAGTCAGGAAGCCGGGTAGCATCTCATTACCTGCTGCCCGGCTTCCTGATTGCCGGGAAGCTTGCTCCATGCAAACGGAAGCACCGATACTCGGTGAGTACCGAAAGCAAAATATCGGTACTCTATACTCAAAAACCGGTATTGGTGCATCCCTAGTTTTAATTAAAACTATTTTTTTTTATTGGGACAAGTAGATTGTTATGAAGGACAAGTAGGTTTGGCCCCC